GATAAAACCTAAACGATACCCATCCCTACTCAATAATGCTGAATAATAATACATTAATAATAGTGTGATAATATAAAACATCATTATTAGTTCTTCAGTGTGAATCACTTGGCTTAGATTGGTAGACCACAGATTGGTACTATTGGTGATTTCATGGGAAAAATCTTCTCCAAACATGTTCATTTTTATATCAAGAAAAAAGAGCAGAGAGGTTTTTAACACCATCACATAATGTAAAAAACACAGCGATTACTAAAATGTTTCATAATTTCCATAATGTTTTCCAGTTTTAGATTTCACTCTGCTCAGTACCAGCTGACTTTTCAGTGCCCCAAATCAATAACAATTGTAAACACTTGTTATTTTAATGTCTGGCTTCAGGCTCTGCCTCTGCATGAATACACATGTAAAAAGAGCTTCAGCTGAACTCGAGAGGCGCTCGAGCAGCTAATTCACTGACAGGGTCATGCTGTAAACTCAACATTATGTAATTTCGGTAAAACGTTAATGGAATTATTGCATTAACAACCATGTTTGTACACTAGTTATACATCATACATCTGCTTTAGGGAGCAAACCCAGTAAACCCACAGAATGTTAGCTCCTGTGTTTATACATGAAATCGTGCTTGTACACAGCAGCGCTCCACAAGGTATTTATAACAATCATTTACATGTTCTGCATCGTTTAAATGCATCATTGTTATTCAGCTTGAAGTAAAACTGAGAAAACTTGACTTGTGTTTCTCTTCAAAACTATGGAAAGTAGCAAAAACCCACCCAGTGGGCAGTTTTAGCAGGTCTGTACGGCTTGTTTGAAATTCTTCATTGTGGATTTAGTGGTAAGGTGAACAATTTATGTCATATTTGGTGGTTGTTAAGTTGGTGTTTGCCCTGTGACTGTCCTCACCTGCATCAGGAGCCTTCTTTCTGGTGACAACCACCAATCACAGAGAGCCAGAAGCTCCACCCTGTCAATGCTGCCCAATAAGATCATAGAATCTGGAAGCACAGAAACAGATGTTAATTTTATTAATATCATGATGCCTTATGATTCCTATAAAATCAAATTATATTTAATGTGATAGCAGCAACTCTTTGTGTTCTTTCAATTACCAAACAAATTTCTGTGAGACACTTTGATGGCCAGTGTTGGGGAGTAACGGAATACATGTACCGCCGTTACGTATTTAAAATACAAAATATGAGTAACTGTATTCCGTTACAGTTACC